GGTTAGTGAATGTCTTTTGTTTTATGCTTACGTTAAAAAGGAATTAGTCAGCATTTTGTTTGAGAGAGTTAGATCTGTTTTATTTTTTGTTTTGGCCTTTGTTCACCCTTAAGTTTGTTGCTTTTTTTTGTTGCACTTTTGGTTTCACGTTTGTAAAATGAATCGCTTCACTTGATTGTTAAACCAGTGTTCGTTGTTGATTTGGGGATCGGGAAGGGAAAGTTATTAATTTTTTATTATTTTCTTCTTTTATGTGCCAGAATGGACATTCAGGAAGGTACAATAGTATCAGTAGGTCTCACCAACATGCTCTGTACAACTGGAGTTCTTACTCTGAGGAGAATAGTGGATGTAGCTGGCCCTGGACTGATTGACATCCCAGCTTGGACAGAAGTCTATTCGTCAGACCAAAAACATTTTGTGGATAATAGGTCTGTGCCTTCCTCAAATTATCTTTAATAACAAATTTTGTAACTTTTTCCAGATTTGAATATTGCTAGAGGTGGACAAGTAACTCAGTCCTCACCATTGATAGAAATCATGCCAGCAACTGGGGACAGGGATCCTGTACCCACACACAGCAAGATAAAAAAAACCATGGTGGAGACTGGACCCTTCTGAAGACATATAAATTAACACAGTCACCATCACAGACAACAGCCGTCAAGAGTATGAAGCCACCATGTTTTTTATCTGTGAGTTCCCAAAGAGCAGAAGAAGAGGAGAAGGAGGAAGAGGGACGCCTGCCTCTGTATTGTCATGAGTCAATGAGACATTCAGACTTGCATGGAAAAGAGATAAAACTATACCTATAGTGTTTTATAGAATTGGCAATGTATGTATTAAATGTGTGTAATAAAAAATAACTGAAATGAAAAATAATTTGTCTCTGCATAATCAGATTATGTTGCTTTCCTTAAAGATCAATGGCATTACACCATCACAGATAGACAGTGTGCATTCAAGAAAGATGATTTTATGGTTCAGTTTGGATAGATTTATGAACACAGTAATATCCTGATATTAATATTAGATTATTTCTCTGACTTATGTTTACATAGATAACTAGGAAAAGGTTATGCCTTGTTTACATAGACTGTTTTACAGCAGATATTAGTGCATGTGTAACCAAAGCAGAGGTGTACTGTGTCTGTGTGTGTCTCTCTAAGAATCTCAAACAGATTCCAACTCAAACAGATGGGACAGACACAAGATGCTTATTAAAACAGAAATGTGTCTGCAAATAAAATCTCGTCTAATTTCTGACTATAGTTTATAAAAGCTACGCTGTTAATCAGGAGGAAACCATTTTACTACACTGAATGCATGCCAAATCAAGACGAAAATATTTTCTAGCTCTTTCGTATAGTTCTCTTCAGAACAGCACTGATAAAAGGATATGCAAAAAGTGGCTCTGCAGCATGTTGCAGAAAAAAAAAACAGCATGATAAGTAAGCTTGCACGGACAAATGCAACACATTTATTGATATTCATGTTAAGTGATTGTAAAAAAGGCAGCGATGAGGGGGTAAATTGCTGTCCAACCACAGTCTAATTTCCAAGGTCTCTGTACCAGAACTTCATCAGGCAACAAACTCATCCCGCTCTGCACCTGTCTCATGAAATTGGTGTGTCAGACTTGTTTCGTCTGTTCAGGACAGAACAGAGAACCATGCCTTCCAATAAATGTGTGTAGCAGGTCTCTCTGCAACCATGGGTTCCCCAGGCACACAATCAAGCACAACAGATCAATTAATTAACACAAATGTATTATTTTGACACACACTGTCAACACAAATACTCAGCTTCCTAGCTATTTCCAGGGCTTCTTTAGCCCTCTTCCAAAGTCCACAATGATTAACTCCAGAAGTCCTCTCTGGTCTGCCAACTCAGGTCCAGCAAACTACTGCATTCAGAAAGGAGAGAGTGATTACCAGCTGGGACAATCAAGTCACCTGGTGCTGCTCTCACAAGCC